GTGGTCGGCTCGTTCGTTAAGAAACGAACACGAACAATGACTTCACGAACAATTTTGAACACGAGTTTATTTCAAAAAAACTAAATTTCAAACGAACCAAACACGAACATAAGCTCTGTTCGTTCGTGTTCGGTTCGTTTACACCCTTACTTACATACATATTATCCAATCCGTATGTATTTTTTTATTTAACAACAAAAATTTAATTTTTACAGTTATACCACCCAAATTTTTCACATCATATCCTGAATACAATCATTTTAATTTTTAACAAGTGGAAAACACCGGCATGTATGTTAAAAGACATCATTTATGTTTAATTTTTTTGTTTTTTCATATGTTTAATAATTTAATGTTTGATCTATCACATAACAAAAAAGAGTTATTATATGTTGACTTAGTATTGAATATTTTGATGAATAAAACATTCCTTCTATATTATTTAGTATTTTTATATGCCATTGATTTTCTCTTTAATTAAGAAAATATTCTCTTAGATGGAATGAATATATATAAAATATCAAATAAAGGCAAAAAGCTTTCATCATAAGTATCAATTTAATACTTAGCTTAGCCCTAATGAAATGTAGTATATATAAAGCACACACCGTCGACAACTCAAATGAAAAGGGTCTTCCACGAGCTCCTCTAATAGTTGGTTTGTTGAACCGCTAAAACGGAAGAACCGGGTCAGAAATAGGCAATTAAGAATTGAGATGGATATGTCCTATGTCCAGACTCAACATGTCTCCAATTAATCTTAAGCTCGATTGAGAACTAAGATGTAAAGGGTTCGGTTGATCCTACTACTTCTGAAGAACATATTCAAGTCTAGTCACAACGAGAAAACTAAGGAATCTCCTAATGCAAATCATACTAAAAACAAAACAATTCAATCTCAATCTTAAACTTTAACACACAAACATAAAAAACTTCACACCACAACAAATAACAAAGAAAACACACCTAACTTGGGTTGCCTCCCATGAAACGCTTGGTTTAACGTCATCAGCCCAAAGAATCCAGATGCTTACTCAGGTTGACCAACATTATAACCTCATTAATTATAGACATTTCTCCACCTAGGTAGGGTTTAAGTCTTTTTATGTTCACTTTAAACATCCTACCACTTTTAGGATCCTTAATATCGATTGCACCAAAATGATAAACATTAATTACAGTAAATGGCTTCGACTACCTTGTCTTAAGTTTTCCGAAAAATAATTTTAATTTTGTATTATACAGTAAAATCTTATGTGTAAATTCAAAATCTTTCCTAAGTATCTTCCAATCATGACAATCTTTTCTTTACAAATTTTTGCATTTTTATGTGATTATTTTTTAATTTTTTTGAGTTCATTTAACTGCAACAATCTCTTCTCACCAGCTTCTTTTATGTTATAATTAAATTCTTTAACAGCCCAACAAGCTTTATATTCTAATTTCACTAACAAGTGACAAGCTTTTCCAAAAATGAGTCTATATTGATACATTCATATAGGAGTTTTGTAAGCACTCATGTAAGCTCATACTGCATCGTTTAATCTTAAACACAATCTTTTTTACTGGGATTGACAGTCTTTTCTAAAATCCTCTAAATTTCTCTATTAGATGCTTTTGTTAAACCGCTTGCTTGAGGATGATATTTTGTAGCTTTTTTATGTTTAATTCCATATTTGGCTACTAGTGTCTCAATTTTTCTATTCATAAAGTGGCTTCCTCTGTCACTAATGATCACTTTATGCATGTTAAATCTACTTAAGGTATTCTTCTTTAGGATTTTAGCGACACTTTGAACATCACAGTTTGAAAGAGCTACAGCCTCAATCCATTTTGAGATATAATCCACATTTATTAGAAAATATAAATTTCAAAAATATGATACAAATGGTCCCATAAAATCAAAACCCCATACATCAAAAATTTCAATCTCCAAAGTAAAAGTTACGGGCATAACATTACGTTTAGAAATATTATAAATTTCCCTAATTTATAATTTCCATGTCCAAGTTTTTCAAACAAAACATGGAACGCTAATAGTTATTATATATATATATATATATATATATATTTACATCCCTAAATAGAGTATTTCAATAAAATCTGGATTGCAAAATCTTAAAAGCAGTTCAAGCAGTTCCAAAATGTCCCTCAAATTCTGAATAATGACTTTTCTTAATAATTTCTTGGTTTTCTTTTAAGGGTACACATCTTCTGATTGTTTGATCCTTACACTTTTTATACAATATATGGGTCATCCCAAAAGTAAGATTTAGCGTTGTGAATGATCTTTTTTCATTATTGTTACGTTAATCCATAGGACATAATATCACTAACAACGAAACTTACTATGTTAGCATACCATAGAATGTGCCACTCAGTAATAGCATACAGTTGCTCGTCACAAAAATTCTCATTAATTTCAACTTCAGAAATGCATGAATTTCCCTGATCCAGTCTTGATAAATGATTAGCAATTTCATTGTCCAAACCCTTCATATCCACTACTTCGATATCCAACTTATGTGTCAAAAGGACTCATTTAATCAATATTGGTTTAGTGTCCTTTGACATAAGATATCGAATAATAGAATAGTCGGTATAAACAATACATTTAGTTCCAAGTGATTAAGCTCTAAATTTATGAAAAATATATGCTATAGCCAATAATTCCTTTTCAGGTGTAGTATAATTGATTTGAGCTTCATTAAGCGTTTTACTGACATAATATATAGCTTTGAACATTTTATATTATCTTTGCTCTAAAATTACCCTAATAACATAAACATTAGTATCACACATCAGCTCAAATAGCCTCTCCCAGTCAGGTGAGCCTATAATAGGAGTAGTGACTAATTTCTCTTTCAAAATATTGAAGTCATTTAGGCAATTTTGATCAAAATTAAATAGGACATCCTTTTCTAAGAGATGGCATAAAGGCTTGGAGATTTTGGGAAAATCCTTTATATATCACCTATAGTATCCAACATGTCCTGTAAAACCTCTAACTCCCCTCATAGTGGTGGGTGGAAGCAGTCTTTCAATTACCTGAATCTTCATTGGGTTTACTTTCATGCCTTTATTAGATATTTTAAGTCCTAAAACAATACCTCCAACAATTATGAATTTACATTTCTCCCAATTGAGAGCCAAATTGGTTTCTTCACAGCATTTCAACGCATTCGCTAAATGATCTAAACATGAATCAAATGAAGCTCCAAACACTAAAAAATCATCCATGAATACTTCAATTTCTTTCTCAATCATGTCGTAGAAAATAGACATTATGCACTTCTGAAAAGTAGCAGGTGTGTTACATAACTCAAATGACATTCTTTTAAAAGCAAAAGTCTCATAAGGATTTATGAATATAGTCTCTTCTTGATCCTCAGGAGCTATAGATATATGATGATATCTAAAATATTCTATCTAGAAAGTAAAAGTTTTAGTGGTCAGTTAACCTATCCAACATCTGATCCGGAAAGGATAAGGAAAAGTGATATTTATTAGTGGTCGAATTCAATTTTTTGTAGAAAATACAAATTCACTACCCAGTTACATGTCTAATAGGAATTATTTCATTCTGTACATTTACAAAAACTGTCACTCCCCCTTCTTAAGAACACAGTGAATAGAGCTAACCCAAGCACTGTCTGATATAGGATAGATAATTTTGCATCTAGCCACTTCAATATTTCCTTTTTGACAACATCTTTTATAATTGGGTTTAGTCACCTATGATGATCTGTCTGGGGCTTATGATTATCTTCCATCATAATTCTATGCATACAAATAAAGGGATTAATTCCCTTAATATCTGCTAAGGTCCATCTAAAACCTTTCTTATATTTCCTCAGAATTTCTATTATTTTTTTCTTCTTATGAATGAGTTAAATCTGAGGATATAATAATCAGTAATGTGGATGACTTCCTCAAATA